TGCCAACATTGGGGTCCCAGTGACACACACACACAGATGGTGCAGGACCAGATGGGGAGCGCCCTGGGGACACCCACCTTCGAGGTATGGTCCCTGACCTCCTTCTGCAGGCGGCCAGGCCTGGCACCCAGAGGTGCTCTGTCAACACGTGGTGACTTCTCGTTCGAATGACCCACAGAGAGTTCCTCTCTTCACTGCTGGCTCTTCCCTCCCATGGGGGGTGAGCTGAGGGGCCTCTAGGTAAGTCACCTGAACTACACACATGCACAGACAGTGGCAATGTAGAAAGCAAGTAGGAAAGGTTTATTAAGGCGACAAGACAGAGGCGAAGCTAGTGAAGGGTGGGTTGTGCAAAAGAAACTGAAAACAAAGAAAAGTGAAGGGCCAGGGGCCTCTGGGAGACAGAGAGTGTGACTCCCAGCGAGACGTGGTCGTGGTCTAGTCCACCTGGGCCTTGTGTCGTGGGCTGGGAGGGCTGCTTCCTGGCTTGCCCACCTTTTGCCTCCTGCCAGAATCACTGTCGCGTTGGTGCACCTGTACTCATTTCTGTCCTGTTCCGAGGGGGACACAGCCCTCTTCTAGGAGAGAGATATCACGTACACAGGACTACGGCAAGGACGATCAGCTAAGCACGTGTCTCCTGGCGTCCGCTCGGAAATAACACGGGTCGGACCCAGCACACAGCGAGAGGGGCGTGGGGTATGGGATCAAGGAGAGAGGGAGAGGAAGTTTATTAGGAAAGATTCCTCTCAGAGAGCAGAGGTGAAGGCGGCCTCTTCCCAGGCATGGCGTGCTCCTCAACACGGCTGGCAGTTCACTGGGTTCCAGCTTGAGTGTAGGTCAGTGGGATGCAGTGGCAGGTGGTCGATGGGACGGAGAGGTGGGCAGTTTCGGACTGTTGTTTTGATGGACAGTCTCTTCCGCACGTGTCAGTGTCAGGAGGCATCTAGCTTCAGTGTGCCTGGCTCTGATTGGGCAGGGCCCAGCCGCAGCCACACCCCTCCTGGTTCTGATTGATCTTCTCTCCCAACAGACTTGGAAAGCTCTCCTGTATGAGGCACAGCTCACGAAACTGGCTTTCCCACTCCAATGCCTCTACGTTTCTGTTCCACATACAGATTGAAAAGGTATAGAGACAGGATGCATCCCTGACGCACTCCCTTTCCAATTTTGAACCATGCATGCAGTGTTTGCCTGCGCTGTTCTGAGGACTACCTCCTGGTCCAAGTATAGGTTTCGCACGAGCACAGTCAGGTGTTCTGGGATTCCCATTCTCCTCAACGTTACCACAGTTCGTTGTGATCCACAGAGTCAAATGCCTTTGCATAGTCAATGAAACAGATAGAATTCCTCTGGTATTCCCTGCTTTCTGCCAAGATCCATCTGACATTAGTGGTAATAGCTCCAGTGCTACGACCTCTTCTAAACCCAGCTTGTATTTCTGGTAGTTCTCTGTCAAAGTGCTGTTCCAGTCGTTTCTGGATAATCTTCAGCAGGATCTTGCTTGAGTGTGTTGTGAGTGACATTGTACAATAATTTCCACACTCTGTTTGGTCACCTTTCTTTGGAATGGAAATAAGTATAGATCTCTTCCAGTCAGTTGGCCAGGTAGTTGTCCTCTAGATTTCTCGGTACAACCCATTGAGCACATCCAGAGCAGCATCTGTTTGTTGAAATATGTCAATTGGTATTCCACCAATTCCTGTGGCTTTATTTTTTGCCAAGTCCGTTAGAGCAACCTGAACTTCCTCCTTCATCACCATTTCCTCTTGATCATATGGAGAAGAGTCTTGAACATACCATGGACCACCAAGAAAACAAATCATTCTGTCTTGGAGAAGGAGAAACCAAGCTTCTCCTTAGAGGCTAAGATTTGGAGTTCCCTCACATACTTTGGGCATGAGGCCAAGAGCTACCGATCCTTGGAGAAGGACATCATGCTCAGAAGGGTGGAGGGGTAGCACAGGAGAGGAAGACCCCAGATGAGACGGGTTGACTCAGTCACTAGGGCAATGGGGGTAGATGTGTCAGAGTCAGTGAGACTGGCTCAGGACTGGGCAGGCTTCGTAGACATTGTACATGGGGTCGCTATGACTTGCAGGCAACTTGGTAGCACATAACAACAACAACATGATGTCCCTAATGCCATGGCCTCTTCCAAACGCAGCTTGTATTTCTGGTAATTCTCTGTCAATGTGCTGTTCCAGTCGTTTTGGGATAATTTTCAGCAGGATTCTGCTTGCTTGTGAAGTGAGTGATGCTGTTCAGTAACTTCTCCTCTGTTGGGTCGCCTTCTTTGGGAGTGGGAATAAGTATAGATCTCTTCCAGTCGGTGGGCCTGGTAGATTTCCTGGCACAGACTAGTGAATACATCCAGGGCAGTGTCTGTTTATTGAAGTATATCAGTTGGTATTCCATCAATTCCCAGGGCTTTTCCAAGTCTTTCAGAGCAGCCTGCACTTCTTTCATCACCATTGCCTCCTGGTCATATGGTGTTTCATGAAATTCCTGTGTCACCAGCTCTTCTTGGTTCAGTGATTCTGTGGATCATTCAATATTCTGCCCATAACATCCTTAAGTATTTGTTAGGAGGAACGGGGTACCAGAATTGGAGGAAGAGTCATCAACAACCTGCGTTATGCAGATGACACAACCCTACTTGCTGAAACTGAGGAGGACCTGAAGCACTTGCTGCAGAAGGTCAAGGACTAAAGTCTTCGATGTGGATTGAAGCTCAACATCAAGAAAACAAAGATTCTCACCACAGGGCCTATTGGCAGCACCATGATGGATGGAGAGGAAACTGAGATTAACCGTTTCAGTGTTGGCTTCCCAATCAATACTTTTGGCACCAGCAGTCAAGAAATCAAACGATGAATTGCACTGGGAAAATCTGCTGTCAGGGACCTCTCCAGAGCGCTAAAATGCAACAATGTCAGTCTAGAGACTAGTGTGTGCCTGATCTAGGCCATGGTCTTGGCAATTACTTGTTACGCATCAGAGAGCTGGGTAAGGATAAGGATGCCAGAAGAAGGATCAATGCCTTTGGGTTGTGGTGCTGGAGAAGAGTCTTGAACATGAACTGCCAAGAGAACAAACAGGGGAACTCTGGTGGCCTAGTGGCAAGAAGCTGTACTGCAATCCCAGAGGTATGTGGTTCAAATCCACCAGACGCTCTGCTGGAAAAGGAGGGGCAATCTCCTCCTGTACCTGTTGGATCTGATTTGACAGTACAGATACACACAAAATAATAAAATAATTTAAAAAAAAAAGAGAACAAACAAATCTGCATTGGAGAGGGTGAAGCCAAGTTGCTCCTTGGAGGCAAGGTGTTGAAGCTCCGTCTCACATGCTTTGGGCACGTGGCCAGGAAGGACCAGTCCATGGACAAGGCCCCCATGCATGGAAGGGTGGAGGGGTAGCGTGGGAGAGGACGACCCTGGATCGACACAGTAACTGGGGTAATGGGAGTAGATGTGTCAGAGAGACTGGCTCAGGACAGGGCAGGGTTCAGAGCTGTTGTGCTTAGCTTCCCTATGAGTCGCAGGCAACTCGAAGGCACATAACAATCTGTGGTAACACAACCAGGGTGCTCCTCACAGGTAAGGATGGTGACACTTCCTCTCACATATTGTGTCCTTTGTGGGTATGTTGTCAAGAGGGCCAGTCTTGGAAAGGGGCATCCTGATGGGGAAGGTAGGAGGGTCAGAGAAAGAGGAAGACCCCCCCAACAAGATGGACACTGCTTAGATGGACACTGCTGGATCTCATCTGTTGTCAAGCAAGGAAAAGACAGAGCCAGGGATGCACAGGAAAAGAGGTCAGGTCACAAAGCATGAAGGCAGGGGGCTAGCAGCTGGAAGAACTGAAGCCCCTATGCCACAACTTTCTGAGGTTTTACTGAGAATCACCAGGAAGTTGTTGTTGTTATGCGCTGTCAGTCGCTTGGGACTCATAGCGACCCTATGTACAAGAGCCCTAAATCCTACTCTATTCTGTGCCGAGCTGTCTCCAACACACTCACTCCCACCACCCCAATCACAGAATCGATCCATCTCATCGAGGGTCTTCCTCTCCTGCGCTCTCCCACCACTCTCCCAAACATGATGTCCCTCTCCAAGGACCAGAAGTAAATAAAGAAAATCACCAGGGAGTAAACAATAGGTCATGGGGAAGTAAATCACAAAGAGAAATCTTTTGCAAACAAATACTGTACGCTTAAGGTCTGCCTTTGTGCCACAGGGGATTTCCAGTGTGCATCCAGGCCTCCCTCATTTCCTGATGCAGCATTTGGTAAAATATTACTATTAAGTTTACTACTTGGCTTCCCACATTCATCAGAGCGGACGAGGACGGTGGACAGGGCACCCTCCGATGTGCTAGCCCGGAGACCTCCCCTCACCCACATCGGGTGTGACAATGTTGTTACTATGCTGTTACAATGTTGCCTTCTCTCCCCGACTCCCTACTGGATGCAGATGCAGCCCCTTCCCGCCCCACGGAGCAGCGTCAGGCAGTTCTCCAGTCGCTTCCACCTTTCGGAAATTCCTGAAAATGTACCCTAAGCCTGATCAATGCGGAGCGGAGTTGAAAGGGGACTGACAGTGCACAAGGGTCACGGACTCCTAAACGGCTCCAGAGGACGGTAGGCGAGGCTGCACAGAAGCCAGAATCCCGGGCCCAGTCCCTGCCCCGACGGGCGGCTCGGTCCCGCCCACGTCCCTTCCCACCACGCCCCCTGCCCTCTCCCTATTGGCCCTTCTCCGCTACGCCCCTCCAGGAGTCTCCTCCCTCTGCTCCCCTCACCTTTCACCTCCTCACCTTCCTGGGAGGCCGAAAGCCACAGACTCCGCCCTTCGACGCAGCGGTTGGTGAATGTGTGTGTCCATCACAGAGAATGCGGTCACCGATTGGCTGAGTGTAGGCGGTGGGCGGGAGGGCAGGCTCGGAGTCGGCGCACACTGTGTCGCCCGAGGCGCGTGCGCAGTGTCGGCGGCGTCATGGCGGCTCGGTGCGTGTGGCTGGCGCGGTGCGCCCTCCCGGCCTTGGCGCGGCCTTTCAGGTGAGGCGGCGGGGCTCAGCCAGGTGCGCGGGGCCTCGGGCGTCTGGACAGCAGCCCCCGTGCCGAGTCGGGCGAGGCCCCGCGGGCTGGGGGCGCTCGGGCGGTGCTCGGGGCGCCCGTGCGTGTGGCCAGTGGGTCGGGCCGGGCCGGCGGCTGCGCCCTGGGCCTCGCGGACTGTTAGGCCGATCACTGACCGGCGCCCTCGGCATTGACGGGGGCTGCGCTGGACCTGCTGGCGGCGGGGTCATCTGCCGACCCTGGGCCCTGGAGGGCGGGCGGGCCGGTCCAGTCCATTCCTGGGGACCGTCCTGCTGGGCACGATCTGGCCACCACTGCCCCGGGCAGAAGCGGCCCCCACTCGGACGGCCTCGCCGTAGTGATGGAGGAACGTGGCCTCGGCACTCGTGGACAGCAGGTCTGCGCCCTGGACACCCGCTGCGGATGGGGCACCGGAGTGCCGCCGTGCGCTGTCCACCTCCCCCCGTGGGCAGCACCGCGCAGAGCTGCTCTGTCCGGGGGGTGGCAGCCCTTTCTAACGCCGTACGCGGCTGTGCTTGGCCCTCACTCCCACGGTGGCCTCTTCCAGGGCAGGCCCGCGGCTGCTGTGCACGGCCCCCAAACAGAAGAATGGCCAGAGCCTGGACGAGGACACGGGGCCGGCCGAGCAGAAGGCAGAGCCGCCCTCCCCAGAGAAGGGCCTCGCGGACGAGAAGGTGAAGCTGGAGGAGCAGCTGAAGGAGACGACGGTGAGGCTGGGGAGCTGGATGCCCAGGGAGGGGACAGGCGGGGGCTGAGTGCGGCGATGGGGGCTGACCACACAGGGTGTCCCTCTCCAGTCCTCTCCCGGCGACCTGACTGCAGATGCTGAGGGAGGGGACAGTAGGTCCTGACCATGCAGGGTGTCCGTCTCCAGCCCTGGGGAGCTGTCTGCTGATGATCAGGGAGGGGACAGCAGGTCCTGACCACATGGGGTGTCCCTCTTCAGTCATGTCCCAGGGACCTGGCTGCAGATGTCCAGGGAGGGGACAGGCAGGTCTTGATCACGCGGGGGATGTCCCTCGCCAGTCCTGGGAAGCTGTCCACCGATGCACAGGGAGGAAGCAGGTGGGTGCTGAGCGCAGCGATGGGGGCTCACCTCGCAGGCTGTGGAATGTCGGTCTCCCTCCCTTGTCCACCCCTGAAAGCTGCTCTGGTCAGGAGATCTGATTACCCTGAGTGAGGAGGGTGGTATTGTCCAGGGTGTCGTGGTTGATGAGTGCCATGGAACCAGCTCAGAGCCTGTGATGCAGGAGTGTCTCCCCTGGACAAGACAGAGGGTACTGGAGACCCTCTGCTTTACTGACGCAGAGGCTCCTGACGTCTTGGTAGCTCTGGTTCTGTCCTGAGCCACCTCTGGTTCCACACAGCTTCAAGGGACTGAAGACTGAAACAGGCCGAGAGGGTGGGGAGCAGGGGACTGGGTGAGGTGCTTGTAGAGATGCAGGAATTTCACGAGCTAAGTCTGTCTTTGAGCTGCCCCCACTGACCACAGTAAGAAATCACAGGTGGACCTGGAGAGGGTGGCAGAGAATGGGAGAATAAAATGGAAAATCACTTTTTTAAAAGGCGTGACAGACTAGTTGTAAAAGTGCTGTGCGTAAGGGAGCTCTGGTGGCCTAGTGGCAAGATGCTGCACTGCAATCCCAGAGGTACACAGTTCAAATCCACCAGGTGCTCTGCTGGAGGAGGAGGGGGCAATCTCCTCCTGTAGTAGTCAGATCTGATTTGACGGTACACTTAAAAATAATACAATAAAAATGGGGGGGGGGGGGAAGTGCTGTGTGTGCACACAGTTTCTCTCTAATTCTCTCTCAAACACCAGACAGGCCTAGATGTCATCAGTACCACTCCTTACAACAGCCAACCTCATACAAAGAGCCCCCCAGTGTGAAACCCAAATGCAGGAAGGGGTTGGGTAGAAATGGAAATGAGAATCACAGGGAGAAAGCGTGGAAAGTGCAGTTCCCTCCCAGGAGTTTCCCTTAATGTCAAAATGTATATGCAGGGTTATTTCAGACCAAAAAGTTCAAAGTATTGACAGATAAGTAAATGAGTCAAGTCTCCTCTGGGCCAGCTGTGCTGGATCTGTGTGAACTGCTGACACCTGCACAGATGAAGGGACAAGGCCCGGGCAGAGGGAGTGAGCAGGGCAGGCTCTCCGGGCAGCCTGGGGAGCCATTGGGAGGGGCGGGCCCTCCCTGAGTGAAGTTGGGGGCTTTGCTGAGGCCCCTCCTGCAGACCCAGCAGATCCTGCCTGGGCTAGGTGGTCTTCAGTGCGCTCCTGTCTGTAGACTGTGGACGCCACGGGACCATAGGCCACCTCTGCTCCAGAACTTCTCATACAGCTTGTTCTTTTGTAAAACAGGAGAAGTACAAGCGTGCTCTGGCCGACACCGAGAACTTGCGGCAGAGGAGCCAGAAGTTGGTGGAAGAGGCCAAGTTATACGGTAGTGTCAACGTGGGCGGCACGGGGTGTGTGTGGGGAGCCTGCGGGGGACAGTGCAGGAGCAATGAAGGCACCACTCCAGGTCCCTGTCTGCATTGCTCACTTGAGGTCGGTGGGGCTGGCCTGTGCCTTACCCTGTTTGCAGGTCAGCAAAAGACCCTGACCAGGTGGCCAGACTGGTCACCACTGTGGAGAAACAGCCTCTGGGCCCTGCAGGCCACCTGCACACATGGCAGGCTGACCTCTGGAGAAGGCTGCCCCTCTTGGTCAGCTCAGTCCTCTTCACTCATGCCTTCTCATACCCACTCGGAGCTGGTCTCCTTCAGAGGCAGTTTCAGTGTCCCAGAAACTGGAAGTGACCAGTGGTGATGTGGGATGCAGCTCACTGTCTTCTGCTCCGCAGGCATCCAGGCTTTCTGTAAGGACCTGCTGGAGGTCGCGGATATCCTGGAGAAGGCCACGCAGAGTGTCCCCAAAGAGGAGGTCCGCGAGGACAACCCTCACCTCAAGAGTCTCTACGAGGGCCTTGTCATGACTGAGGTCCAGATGCAGAAGGTCTTCACCAAGCACGGCCTGCTCAGGATGGACCCTGTCGGGGCCAAGTTTGACCCATATGAGCACGAGGCCCTGTTCCACGCACCGGTGGAGGGCAAGGAGCCGGGCACAGTGGCGCTGGTCACCAAGGTGGGCTACAAGCTGCACGGACGCACGCTGCGGCCCGCCCTGGTCGGAGTAGCCAAGGACGCTTAGGGCTGGAGTGGCGTGCTACAGCCACTCCAGTGACTCCTGCAGGCTGGCCCTGCTCCCTGACGGCTCCAGCCAGGCCTGCACCTTGTCGGGGAGCCTCAGTGACTGGACTGAGGGCTGTGGACAGCTGGCCCACGGGCGTCCACAGGCACAGCACCCCAGTCCCTGTCCCTAGGTGGTTTAAATAAAGCACCTTTGGGACCACAGCTCCGTGTCCCGGGAGTGGTGGGAGTGCCACGTTGCTCGAGAAGGATGCTTGGGGGTCTCGGGGTTTCCAGGTCCTTTCTGGGTCTCAGGCCGCCTTCGTTTGACAGGACCCTTTTCTTTGCACTGCACTGTTCGTCTAAAGGGAGGCTGGGCAGACGGCTGTGTCCGTGCCCCGCATGGGCCAAACCCCCCCCCCTCAGCCTGTGACCCCATGGCGGACAGGGCCTGCTGCAGTGAGCAAACTGGAGCCTCAGGAAGAGGGCACACAGCACCTCCCTGGGCAGCAGGGCCTGCCATGCCATGCTTTGTTCCACCGTCTGCAGCTGCCCCTACCCAGGGCCTGGAGGAGACCCTGCCTAGAGTCTCATCTCTTCAGAGGTGCTCCTGTGAGGGGCTCTTCCACGGCCATCAGTCAGGACCTCCCAGGAGGAGCGGGGAGGGCCACCAGAGCACACCTGTCCTGGGAGGGGGCTAGTGAAGGGCCTCGCCATTGCTCACAAGTATTTACACAGGAAGTTTGTCCTCCACACTGAGCCCCACTCCATGGAACAGTGAAGCCTCTCTGACTGTGAAGCCATTTCAGGGGGGAGCTGGGGCAGTGCGTCCACCTACAGAAGGTGGCTGGTTCCTCTGACACAGGACCCGTGGCTGACACGGGAGCGCACACACCACACACTGACTGGTCAGCAGAGCCACAGGCGCTCGGTGATGAGGCGCCCTCGTAGACTCGCCCACCCCCCGCTAGGAACTCGAGCAACTTTAATGAATTTATTTAACGCTCACAGCCTCCCCCAGGGCAAGCAGTAAAAAGGAGAAGGCACGGGAACGCTGTCCTTGGAGGCGAGGCTCTCGGACAGCTGTAACCTGGAGCCCAGCCCCTGCCCTGCTGCTCCGGCTGCGCTGGTCAAGTGCAAGGACAGGAACAGCCTGGAGGGTCACCTGGGGAAAGGGGCCGCGGGGGCGGCCCGGGCTGAATTCACCCCCGGTCCCGCCTGCTGGTCCCGGCTGAGGGACCCAACCCGCGCCGAGTGCACGTGGCCGGGCCGCGCCGCCTGCGTGCGGTCAGCGGGCCTGGCCAGCACGGTCACCGCGCACCAGGCCCGCTCAGGCCGCGTCCCGCGAGATCCAGCCGCTCTCGGTGAGGAAGTTCAAAATGCGCTTCTTGAGCACCTTGTCCAGGTAGCTGGGCAGGCGGCTCTTGGCCGGGATGCCCTGGCGCTTCTGCAGGTGGTCCTTGATGATGATGGTCTTGGCCGTGACGTAGCGCGCCGGGCTGAGGTTGAGCGAGCCGCACAGCACCTTCTCGCGGTCCGACAGCAGCTCGAAGCCCGGCAGGTGCTCGATGGCCGCGAACTCGCCGTCGCGCCCGTCGTCCCGGCCGCGCTTGGCCGCCGCCAGCCCCTTGCCCTCCTTGCGGCGCTCGCGCTTGTGGCGCGCGGCCTCGTACTCGGCCGACTCCTCCATCTTGGTGATGCCGTTGCGCCGGTAGCGCTGCAGCTCGCGGATCTTGGCGCGCAGCGCCTTCTCCTTGTGCATGCTCTCGAACAGCTCGTCCAGCTCCTTGCAGGGCAGGAACTGGCAGAGCGGCCGCAGGCGCAGGCGCAGCTCCTTCTCCTCCTTGGCCACCTTGCGCTTGGCCGCCTTCTCCTTGTCCTTGCGGTCCTTGCCCAGGAAGGCGGGCACCAGGTTGTAGTCCCGCGCGATGTTCTTGCGCCGCTGCCGCTCGCGCAGCTTCCGCACGTACATGTCCACGTGCGCGCGCTTCAGCTCGACCTCCACGTCGTCGTCGTCGTAGTTGACCGACAGCCCGCTGATGAGCGTCTCGGCCTCCTGGTCGTACTCGATCTCGTAGTCGTCCCGCAGCGGCATGTAGCCCAGCTGCTGCTGCTCGGCCGCCGAGATGTCCAGCGGGGGCAGCGGCGTGGTGAGGCTGGGCGAGAGCGGGCCGCCGCCCGGGCACGTGTGGTCGGTGACGCGGTTGGGGATGGTGTCGGGGATGCAGGCCTTGCCCAGGTTGCCGTGGATGTACATGCTCACGTAGTGCTCCATCACCTCCTGCGGCGTCCGCGAGGCGCCCACGTGCGCGGCCATGTCCTCCTGCAAGCAGAGGACACTCGGGCTCAGCCCCGGGGGACGGAGGGCAGGGGACAAGCAGGCCCAAAGCACCCGACAGGGGCCCTGAGGGCCGGGGCTGGCTGATACCACGTGAGGCTGCTAGGGTCCCCCGGCCCCTAAACTGACCCAATGGCCCGAGTCCTTGCAAGCAGACGCCCACCTATGCCCCACTTCCCCTCCCCGGGCCAAGCTGGAGGGTACACGCCCTGCCCGCCGGACCACCCCGCCCCGTGCTGACAGCGTCCCCGGTTCAGGCCAGCAGCCTGCATCTGGGAGGCAGCCTACCAAGGTCAGTAAGGCGGGAAGTCGTCCAGGCCTCCAAGGCCTCTTCCTTAACCACGACCAAAAAAAACCACAGGAAGGGTCCCCAAGACCAGCCAGATACCCACCACCCCCCCCCCCCCAGCCCAGCTCGGGGACTGTTCCCCTCACCGTCAGCACCCCAGCCCCCTCCCTGGGGGCTGCTTTCTGCGGCCTTCAGTCCATTGCTGGGTGTCCACGGCCCCCATCTCACAGCAGCCACACAGCCCCCAGCCAGTCATCTGGAGGACTGATGGCAGCTCCACGGCCTCGATGCTGCCCTGCCAGCTGCCGAGCGGTCAGCACACAGAGGTCACCCAGGGGAGGGAGCAGGCAGCCGAGAAGTCTGCAGTGTAAGATCCTAGCGAGGGGAGTTCTGACCAACAGGACTTCTGGAGAGAAGCCCCCCTTCTAGCCTGGCCGCTGGCCATCACCCCCACATGCCACACTCAAGCCACCACGTGGAGGGTGCCCTGTCGTGCGACCCAGCACCTCTCCAGGCCCGGAGTGGCTGCTGTGTGTGCACACCTGGGGTCTCGGGTCACTGGGCAGAACAGGAATTGGTCACAGGCTGACTGCCCCAAGTGTGCCAGCCCCCAGGGGTGGGCATCACCAAGATGAGGAGCTCCGAGGGGCCTGCACTGTGGTTCTTCACCATCAGAACACCAGGCCTGGGCCTGCCCACTGCCAGGGCCCTGGCCTCGCCGAGCTCCCCCCACAGCCCAGCTCTCCCCTCCCCTCCTCCACATCCCAGCCCCCCCC